GGAAAACTAAATTCATTGATTGGTAATTGCTGCAAATTTGACTGTTATAGGTCAATTCAGATTGAAGGTAAACAGGAAAATATTTCCAGATTACTAAATAAAAGACCAGTAAGAACATTTTTTTTTAAATGAATCAAATTAAGAACCAAGTAAATAAAACAGATGCAGGACCAGGTAATGTGTTGTACCTGAGTGATGTGGGACCACATACTGACCACATCTGTAGCAACTGTTGGTTGCTTGAGGAACTCCAGCTCAGAATTGATGAGCTGGAGTCTGAGCTTTGAACATTGCGACATATCAGTGAACGGAAGAGTTACCTGGACACTGTATTTCAGGAGGCAGCCACATCCCTTAGATTAATTATCACAAATTTAGTCAGTTGTTGGGGACAAAAGGAAGTCACTATGAGCGAGGCAGGTAGAGGGATCCTGTGGGTAGTGTTGAAGGAGCCTCAGCCCTTATCTAACAGGTTTGAGATTCTCGCTCCCTTTGTGGATGAGAGCAGGCTGTGGGTAGAAGAAGCAAACTAACCACAGCACTGTGGTATAGGCAACCATTCAAGAAGGGAACAGGAAAGAGAAATGTAGCTGTAATTGGGGGATAGTATAGTCAGATGAATGGTAGGGTAGGTTCAGCTGCATGGAAAATCATAAAATCAAAGCTAAAGGAGGAGGTAGGATAGCAGGTTTGTGGCGGGGTTGATTGTTTCCAGAAAATAAAAGAAAGGGACAGAATGTGAATGTCATAATGTACCAAGGAACCATAAGGTGTAGGGAAACTCTACAATAGAACAACTTAAAGGCTTTGTATCTTAATGCACAAAGCATTCGGAATAAGGTAGACAAACCAATGGCTTCTAGACTACTTCACAAAAGGTTAGTTCATAAGATAAGAACCCATGGTACTGCAGATGTATTGGAATGGATAGAGAATTAGCTCGTAGGCAGGAAACAGCAAATGAGAATAAGGGTATCTTTTCAATTTGGTGACCCATTTCCAGTGGATTTCCACACGTACCGGTGCTAGGACCGGAACTGTTTACAACATATATATTAATGGCTTGAAGGAAGGAAGTGAAAGTAGGAAGAAGGAAGTAGCCAAATTTATAGACATCACCAAAATAAGTGGAAAGGCAGGTTGTGAGAAGGATAGAGATTGCTGCATTAGATAAGTGGGCAAAAGGTTGGCAAGTGGAGTATAATGTGGGAAAATGCAAAATTGTCCATTTTGGAAGGGAGAACAAAGGAACAGGATATTACTTAAACTGAGAAAAACTGCAGAAAGAGACTGGGGAAATCTTGCAGACAAAACACAAAGCTAGCTCATAGACGCAGCAGGTAATCAGGAATGCTAATGGAATGTTGGCCCTTATTTCAAGGGGGTTGGATTACAACAGTAAAGAAGCCTTACTGCAACTGTACAAAGTGTTGGTGAGACCACTTTTGGAGTGCTGTGAGCAGTTTTAGTTCCTTTATTTAAGCAAAGATATCATTTCCTTGGAGGCTCCTCAGAGAAGGTTCACTAGGATTTTCACCAGTATGAGGGAATTGTCCTGTGAGCAAATGCTAAACAGGTTCAGACTCTACTCATTGGAGTTCAGAAGAATGAGAGGTGATCTCATTGAAGCATTTAGGATTCTTAAGAGCCTTGACAAGGTAAATGCTGAGAGGATGATCCCCTATTGGGAGAGTCTAGGACCAGAGGTTATATGCCTCCAAATTAAGGTGTGCCAATTTAAGACTGAGATGAGGAGGAACTTCCTCTGAGTTGAGTCTTTGGAACTATTTGTGAGGCACAGTCTTTGTCTATATTTGAGAAAGAGATTCTTGATCAGTAAGCAAATCAAAGGTAATGCGAAAAGGTCAGGAAAGTGGATATGAGAAATGCTGGATCTGCCATGATCCTATTGAAAGGTGGTGTAGGCTCAAGGGGTCAAACAGCTTACTCCTGTTCCTATTTCTTATGATCTCCTCTTAACCTTCTATGCTCCATGGAAAATAATTCCAGCTTCTCCAGTGTCCCCATAAAACTGAGGGTTCTCATTCCTGGTACAATTCTAGAAAATAATCTTGAGGTTGCTTCATTGCAGTGGATAACCTACCCTTCACAATATTTACAAAATTTTGCAAACATGTTTCTTGTCTGCATCCCTTGAAAGTCATCATCCCCTGATTTCCTAGATATTTCATTATTTTGACTGAGGGAAGGCTAGCACTAAACTCAGCATTATTATGAGATATTGATTATATTCAAGATATGACCTGCAGCTACTTTGTTGCCACAGTAAGAGAAGCAACTTTCTAAAATATTGTGCCTTTCACATTGAAAAAAACCCACGGCAGTTTACAGAAACAGATGCTAAGTCAAGAGACGTAAGATTAGGAATACTGGCCAAAGTGATGTGTGAAGGAGAGACAGGAAACTGGAGAGTTGAAAAAAGACTTGGCTCGGCGATGGCACAGTATGGAGCCAAATGATTAAAGGCAACTCTGCCAGTAATAGAGAAAAAGAACTGGGAAGGACACAAGAGAGACTAAGGCGCACAACGTTCAGAGGGAAGAGTGATAGAGATGAAGTCATGAAAGAATTTAAGCATAGAGAAGTTATTTTTGGGTGGTATGGGCGACTGGGCAGAAGTATTAGTCACTTGATTCCCACAGCATCACACTGGGAGTCCACTCTGATCATTTCATCACTTTACAACATCATCTGAAAATACAATACATGATGATGATGCATCATTGTCTTACTTAATCGTCTATTCTCTGATGTACTGTACGTCCAAAGTTTAATCTTGGATAGAATTCCTCCAACTACTTATTGGGAAAACCATTGTTTTCATCACATTTCAGTCCTTAAACCATGTCATTGTCTGAGGCTGATCCAGACCATTTGGTTTCCTATCTGACCGTGACACGTGTTTCTGAACACACATCCCTTCTAACATGAAAATCACTTCCTGAATAGTCTCACCCATTTCCACCTCTTCTCAACTCATCTGTAGCTGAAACCCTCATGTATACCCTGATTCCCTCTAGACTCTGCTATTCCAATGCTCTCTTGACCGGTCTCTCATTTTGTAAACTCAAACTCATCTCAAACTCTGCTGCCAAAATCTTAACCTGTATCAAGTCCCGTTCACCAGTCATTCCAGTGCTCACTGACCTATATTTGCTTCAGATCCAGTAATGTCGGCATTTTAAAATTCTCCTTCTTGTTTTCAAATTTATTTGGACCTTTGCCCCTCCCTATTTCTGTAACATCCTCTTGCTTTACAATCCTCCAAGCGTTCTGTGACTCTCCATTCTGGTCACTTGCACATCCCAAATTTTAATTGCTCCATTGTTGGGGTCTGGACGTTAATTTCCATAATTTTCTTCCTAAAACTCTTTAACTCTCTCAAAAGGTTCCTTTAAAAACCATCTGTTTGACCAGCTTTTTGGTCACCCATTCTAACATCTCATGATTCAGGGCCAAATTTTATTTGCTAATGTATTTTTTGAAATATATTGACATTGACATTGACATTGACAGATGGGTAAGCTTGCAGAAAGTAGAGCATGGGAGGTTGGTCAGGAAATCACTACAGAAATTGGGTCAGAGAGCAGGAACTGCATGGATGAGAATTTCAGTGGCAAACAGGTTGATGCAAGGATACTGGAAAACAATGTTACAAACACTGGTTCAAAAATTTTTCTGTTTTCATATCTGCCTACAAACGTATCTAATTTAATTTAAATCCCATTTTGGCATTCTAGTAGTTCAAAACTGGCAGCTATGTTTACGAACTCTGGCATTTTATTTCTATGATGCCACTTACGGAGATCATAAGAACACGATTGGATATAATCTTAAGTCTAAAGACTCTATTTTGGGAGCTTTCAAAATGGTTAAATTAAAGTTTTTTTGAGGTGCTGCCACATATTTGATTCCATCTACATATCTTATACAGCCAAATAGGTGGAATACCCTTTTAAGAAGTTAATGAAACTGAAGCACAAATTCAGCATTTTGTGTCAAATAAGTTTAAAAGCACTACAGAATATTAGTACAAATATATGTATTACATATCTGAAGGGCACAATTATTTTTGCTTATAATATTTATTAAAAAAGACTAAAATCTCCTCTGACAACTCCGTGTCATGTACTTCACCACACAGTGATAGAGGTCCTAGGTTCGGTCGCTACCTTGTTTTTATGATAGCTTGCCTCAGCCAAAACCAGCAACTGGAATACTAAAATTGGCCTCAATACTAAACTAAATAGAAAAATTACACAAGGTTTATTTTTCTAATTGAGATTCAGTCACACAGGAGAGAAAAGGACTGGGCTTCGCTACATGGTTTCCAATCAACTTAAGTAGCCTTAGAGACTCATAGCTTTCTCATTTGGCTTTCTGACAAATCGTCATTTCAACAAGGCAATTGAGGATTTCTATTCAAAAGTTGAACCGAGAATCATCATCTTTCAGACAGGAGAAAATGGACCAAAGAGAAAATGCTTCAAGAACCAAGTTAAGTTAGTTTAGTAAACAAGAATAGGGTTAAATGGTGTTTGAAGTTTGTTTTAAGGTTTTGATCCTATTAAATACAAATAAAAAACTTAGCTATCATGATGGAGATTATGAATATGTACCATTTTAAAATTCCTTTAACATTTTGAAAAGAAAAATATACTTAGTTAATGTCCTACAGCACTATCAATTAAAATAAAAATCACAGCAGAAGAATCAGATGCTACATAATGCTTGTATAAGTTTGGCAGATCTAAATCTCAACAGCACTGAATACAGAAAATACCACTACATTTTGCACGACTGAAAAGTATGTCTGGAACTTGAGACTACTGCAACATCAGAAGTTCTAGGAAAACTGTAATGGACGCTTAAGTAATGTTTTAAGTTAATTGTTATTTAAAACTTTAATGGACAAGGAAATTATTGATCACACTATGTACCTCAAATTGTAAAACAAAAATTCACGAGATAAGACTTACCGTATAAAGAAACGCCATATTGTCCATGTCAGGACCAGTATAAATCCAAGGATCCAACACTGGATGACGTAAAAAGGAATCGGTAGTGTAAGTGTATAAGGGTCATACTTCAGCACAATTAGGAATTCTGTCACCGTGATTGCAGCTACCAACCAAGCCTGCTGGCCAAGCTTTTTATGGAATTTCCTGCAGTGAAAAAAGAAGAACCGTTATCAAAAACATTCACAAAGATGGCAATTTGACTGAAGCTTATACTTTGCTCAGTTTAGAAACAATGACGATTCATTTACTTCATAAATCAGTCACTGAGACTAGCAAATGTTGTCCCCTTGTTCAAGAAGGGGAGTAGAGACAACCCTGGTAATTATAGACCAGTGAGCCTTACTTCGGTTGTGGGTAAAGTGTTGGAAAGGATTATAAGAGATAGGATTTATAATCATCTAGAAAGGAATAACTTGATTAGGGATAGTCAACACGATTTTGTGAAGGGTAGGTCGTGCCTCACAAACCTTATTGAGTTCTTTGAGAAGGTGACCAAACAGGTGGATGAGGGTAAAGCGGTTGATGTGGTGTATATGGATTTCAGTAAAGCGTTTGATAAGGTTCCCCATGGTAGGCTATTGCAGAAAATACGGAGGCATGGGATTGAGGGTGATTTAGCGGTTTGGATCAGAAATTGGCTAGCTGTAAGAAGACAGAGGGTGGTGGTTGATGGGAAATGTTCATCCTGGAGTTCAGTTACTAGTGGTGTACCTCAAGGATCTGTTTTGGGGCCACTGCTGTTTGTCATTTTTATAAATGACCTGGATGAGGGCGTAGAAGGATGGGTTAGTAAATTTGCGGATGACACCAAAGTCGGTGGAATTGTGGATAGTGCGGAAGGATGTTGCAGGTTACAGAGGGACACAGATAAGCTGCAGAGCTGGGCTGAGAGGTGGCAAATGGAGTTTAATGTGGAAAAGTGTGAGGTGATTCACTTTGGAAGGAGTAACAGGAATACAGAGTACTGGGCTAATGGTAAGATTCTTGGTAGTGTGGATGAGCAGAGAGATCTCGGTGTCCATGTGCATAGATCCCTGAAAGTTGCCACCCAGGTTGATAGGGTTGTTAAGAAGGCGTACGGTGTGTTAGGTTTTATTGGTAGAGGGATTGAGTTTCGGAGCCATGAGGTCATGTTGCAGCTGTACAAAACTCTGGTGTGGCCGCACTTGGAGTATTGCGTACAGTTCTGGTCGCCGCATTATAGGAAGGATGTGGAAGCATTGGAAAGGGTGCAGAGGAGATTTACCAGGATGTTGCCTGGTATGGAGGGAAGGTCTTATGAGGAAAGGCTAAGGGACTTGAGGCTGTTTTCGTTAGAGATGAGAAGGTTACGAGGTGACTTAATAGAGACATACAAGATGATCAGAGGATTAAATAGGGTGGACAGTGGGAGCCTTTTTCCTCGGATGGTGGTGGCTAGCACGAGGGGACATAGCTTTAAATTGATGGGTGATAGATATAGGACAGATGTCAGAGGTAGGTTCTTTACTCAGAGAGTAGTAAGGGCGTGGAATGCCCTGCCTGCAAAAGTAGTAGACTCGCCAACTTTAAGGGCATTTAAATGGTCATTGGATAAACATATGGATGATAATGGAATAGTTTAGGTTAGATGGGCTTCAGAATGGTTTCACAGGTCGGCGCAACATCGAGGGCTGAAGTGCCTGTACTGCGCTGTAATGTTCTATGTTCTATGTAACAGCTGTCATCACATTTACCTACAAAATAAAACCTGGACACACAATTTCACTGGAAACAACTCAAAGGTATATGCATTTAACCATTATTTTCTGTGCAGAATAGCACTCAGTTCTTTCCTCAAGTGTGTAAAGTATTTCACCCTCAGGGACGAGGCTACTTTGGCCCACTCCTAATCCTTCCATTGCTCATTTCTTCTCACCCCCTTCTTGCTGGCTGGTGCTACCTCTGTTGTCTGCTCAGGCCACTACTCTGTGAGGTTGCTCCTCCTGGCCACTGCCTTAGATTTGGGGTGACAGTTGTAAGTCCAAGCACAGTTCTGCCGGTGACCCACAGCTCAAGTGGGAGGATACCTATCCAGTCCAGCAGGGCAGAACAGAGGGGTGCTGCTGAGCCCTGTACTCTGAGATGGGTGGCTCCATCATGTTCAAGAGGGTCCTCACCTTTGGGAGGAATGCTGTTAGGAGGTGTGGACAGGCAGGGGTTCTAGCAGGAAAAGTCTCTGCTGCAGATCTCTACCAATGGGGCAGCACCAGGAGAAGCTGCAAGTTTCAGGGGGAGACGTGATACCAACATGGCACCAATTGGGTGAGGTACTGCAATGAACTGCCAAACACCATTATTACAAATTTTGCAACTCTGTACCTGATTTTGTGTCTGGATAGCTCACCGGCATTAATGCAAAACAATCCTAAACAGTATGACTTTAAACACAATTACACATTAACCAAGCGACAAGCAACTGTTCCATTCCTTCTAGTCAGCGTACTCAGCTACACTTATTAAGTTTCTCTGACTTTTAGGAACAAGTATATTTACAAATTAACTCCCAAAAGACAACAAGCAATGTTCTCTTCATTGTGATGAATCCCCTTTTTGATGTATTGATTTGTGCTACAGGAGCCAGCATGCAGTGAACACTGTAACATCCAGTGGTACAGAGAATTTGAAGGGCTTCCTACATTTGTCTGTTCCAAAATATTAGTTACATGCAATTCTGCCTAGCAATTGAGGCAGGATTAATGACAAAGCTTTCGATAGATCACTGAAAACAGTTCAGGGGTAAATAAAGAGCCATTCCAGCAACACAGTGAAGGGGCAGGAGAGAGGAAAGAGAGAGCGAGAGAGAGAAAGATAACAGAGTGAGGAAGAGAAGAATTAAACTCCATTTGGGCAAGGTTCCTGTTAGCTGTGCTGCTAAAGGCAACTGAACTACATAGGTTCTGTTAGTTGGGGCCCAAGCAAGTCCTAGAGCAGTTGAATAGCTTTGTGCAATGGGGGCTCATGAAAAACCTAGGTGCTGCAACAGCCTTGAAAGAAGCTAAAGCACAATTAGTAGTTCAGCAGAGAGTGGGATTGAAAGTCCACAAGTAGTAATTGTTTGGTGCTAGTAAGCCAGTTTAGCTACTTGTGAAAAGCTGAAATTGTGCCCATGAGAAGTGCTCAAGAGCAGTTTTTAAGAATCCAGGGAAAGAAAATAGACCACTAGAATATGAGCAGTGTTTGGGGTTGTCCATAATCAATTGGTATTTGAGGGAGATTCTGAATCCAGGTTGTCAAAAGTGAAGAATCAGAGTCAGTTGTGAAGTTTTAAAGAAATTTAGTAATCCACAGTGTCACATACGTATGGGATGACTGCTGAGAAATCTTTAGGATCGGTTTGATGCCATGGATATTTGCAATTTGCTCTGTGGATTACTGACTGCCATGAGCAACATCCAGTTCTTTTCTCAAATACTACAAATAAGGGGCATTGTAAGCCTTACATGTCATGTGAAAAATTGGTAAATCAATAGCGGAGAGAAAGAGATTTCTATCAAATAGTACACAGCATGTTTTAAAGTCAAAATAGTCTGAAAACAACATCACGACAGGGACTTTCACAGGACAGTAAAGGTCTATGGTTTTAGTTTGCTACTTGTCTGATTGAAACTAATGAGATTATTGCTCAGTGGGCTTTCATTTCCAACAGGTACTTACAAGTCATCCATGAAGTCATAAATCTCACGCATTGCTACACCTCCTACATGCACAAAGAAAACCAGACGTAGTAAGACCAGGTAGTGTTCAGGGGGCATCCAGAGGACAAACTTCAAGTAAAACGTATTTAATTCCGCAAGCAAAAACTGCAAAACACAGATAGGGCTGCTCAGCTGCTGGGACTATAACTGAAGAACCGAGCAACAAACATACCTAAATAGTCAACAGTACTTCAAAAAGAGAACAATGACACATGAAAATAAACCATTTTTTTCTTCTAATGCTAAGATGATAAATGCTGCATGCTTTTTAATAATTATCCTGAAGGGGTAATACAATAGATTACAAAGTTTAAGAAAAAATGTACATCCAAAAGCCAAGTTTGACGCTGGCTAACAGAAATAAATCAAAAGGAGGATTCAAACCAGCACCTCTGTATTTGTGAAGTGTTTCACGTCAGATTTAACAGTTGGAGTGAGGACAATATTTTGTTGCCTGGGAAGACAACATTGACCATAACCACATCACTGCAGCAAGGACCACATATTTTATCTAGTCAATTATCAGCCAATTAACTGGTGAACCTGGTCAGTTAGCCATTTCCCAGCTCCTCGTGACCACACATTATCCATTCTCCACGGGATAAGGCAAACAAAGTAACTGGGAGGGGGAAAAGGTACCTTGTTGTGACTACAATTCATGAAATTTGCAGCAATGAATGCGACATTAAACCATTCCTACTTTTAATCTCTCAAATGTGCTTTAAAAACTCGAATTGTGAAGCATTGCAAAGTTACATTTTAAATGAATGGTCAATTAACTTACAATACATATTGTCTTATTTCTTACCATGAAAATAATTCCACAAACTGCCAGCCACCTACGAAGATTTGAGGCTGGTTTCCACTCAAACTTCACCCAGCTGTATGGCGTGAATTGGAAAGCAATGCGCTTGATTTTCCCTCTGAAGAAGAAGAAGCATATAAAAAAAAATCAAGAATTCTCTCACTCTGCTCATCTTGTCTAAATACCTGCTAATTGGAGGTACAGTTGCAGAGTGGTAACGTTATTGAACTAGTAAAGCAAACTAAAGCTCCAGACATAAGTTCACATCTCAGCATGGAAGCTGTGGAAATTTAAACCTAACTATTAAATCTGGAATATTAATGATCAAAATACCAGAATTTTAATCATGCTTCTGAAGTCCACATTAATATCACAAAAGACATCCATCCAATTCTCTAATGACTTCCAGGCCAAGGAAATCTGCTATAGTACATGTGATTGAAGACCCATTGTAAAGACAGTAACTTTCAACTGCCCTCAGGTAGGATCAGGAATGCATTTAATTTTATCAATCCATGACAGAAAAGTTGAACAAGAATAATACCCAATACACCACGTGGCATCTGTCATGATAAAGGCACAACTGAACAGTCAATTCTTAATAACATCTAGGAACATGAGCTAAAATTTGGGGGAAATGTCCCTCAGATTGACATTGTAATGCTCACTAAATGCTACTTTTCAGACTTCTCATTGCCATTCCTGGCTATGTCCTACCCACCTTCAACACATACAGAATACGCAGGGCGACCCTGTAGTAGGCAGTCAGGAGGGATTGGCCCAGAGAGTCCTTGACATTGATTCCAGACTCCAGGGTCACTCATGGCATCAGGTAAAATACTGATAAGCAAAATCTCTACTGACGGCCATTTCAATTTTCCCTCAGATAATAAATTAGTGCTCCTCTAAAATGAAAATCACAGAATATACTCTTCAATGTCCATAATGAAGAGTGGCTTGGTAGCAGCACTATTGACCAAGCCCCAAAAGATGTAAGTGCTGAACTAGGCCTGTAGCAATTGATGAGAGAACTGACAGGAGGGATAAAGTTAGTTGACTTTGTTCTTACTAATTGACTTGTACAATTGTATCTGAGGCAGCACTGGTGGCAATGACAACTGCAAAGTCCTTATGGAGATGAAGTTCAGTCTTCACACAGAAGAAAAGACCTAGCAGCTCAAAACTGGTTATATACATGAGCTACTACAGCAGAATTGTATTCAACCACAATCCATAACCTCACAACCAGCATACTCCCCACTCTACCACTACCATCAGGCCAGCAAACAAACCTTGTTGCGATATGGAGTGTAGGAGAGAATGCCAGCATGCTAACAGCTAGGCAATATTCCTACTGTCAGTGACACTAAAGCAAATAACCTAAATACTTGGCTCTCATCAGTTGCCAGTTAAAATGAAACACAAAGCTTACTTTTGTCCCATTCAGCAATGGGAATCTAAATTGACTTGGAGTGGAAGATTATCAATCAATTTACAAAACAAAAAAAAACATGTATTTGTGTTAATTATATCATCAGTCATCCTTTCACAGTTGCAAATTGATTCTATCCATACTATATTCCACGCAGACACCTGAAGTCACTTACATAAAGATGAAAACATTAGGTAAAATAGGAGGAGGAGTAGGCATTAGGTCCCTCGAGTCTACTCCATAATTAAGACGAGGACTAGCTTTCATTCTCTATTTCACTTTTCTAGCCAATCCTAATATTCTTTGATTTCTTTACAGTGCAAACATTTACCAACATCAATCCCTGAATATAATCAAAGATGTAGCATCCACAGACTCTGGGCCAATTAATTCCAAAGGTTCACAAGTCTGAATGAACAAATTCCTCTTAAGTGTTAAGTGATCAATAGATTATCCTGAGACCATGAGTCCTAGTTCTAGATTCTCCTGACACCTGGGTCAATGTCTTAGGCTCTATCTATGTTGCCTTCACAATCTCATGTGGTTCAATGAGATCACCCCTCATTCTTTTAAACTCAAGAGTAAAGACCCATTTGATCAAAACCTCTCCACGCAGGACAAATCTCTCTTCCCAGGACTGATCTAGTGAATCTTTATTACTTTTCTCTATGCCAACTGTACTTTTCATCAGGTACAGGCAAAGAAAAATATTTTACCGAAGCTATCTACAATTGCAGGCACATTTTCTTCCTCTTGTACTTCAATCCCTTTGCAATAAACAGTATCATGTAATTTGTGTAATTACTTGCTGTACTTGCATTAACTGTAACCCAAGTTTACCTGCAAACCAATGTTTAAATAGTCACTCATGTTTTAAAAATACCTTTTTCTAAAAATTCTTACCAATAACCTTGTATTTTACCGTACTCATTAATCTGTCTATATTTCTTTACAGTGTGATGATGCTGTGGTTTTAAGAGGTTATTTTGTCCTGGTGTTTTTTTGAAGAGCAGTTTTAAGGCAGAAGTGACAAGCGGTCTACCAAAACCACTTGAGTAAACAGCTTGTGAGGCCTTGATTTTTTTTTTTAAAAGTTGGAACAATAGAAACAGCCTGAATGGGTGGGGTTGAGCTCTCACAGGACCAGAATTTTTAGTCTTCTCAACAGTAGTTGTTGCTGGGGCCTCAGTTGGATTGGAAGGCAATGAATCTCTCTCAGCTGCTACACTCTTTCTCTGAGGTTTCTCTGGATTTTTTTCCTCCTGGGCTGCTGGAGTGCAGGTGAGACAATTCTGTTTTCTGAATTTACCTTTTGCCAAGGGTGTATGTACAAGATGTCACGATATTGGAACAGTTACTGTTTAGTATAAAATAATCTATTATTCTGTTAAGTTTTTCAATAGAGTTAAGTTATTCCAAGTTCCTCTATCTTTTGCTGTATTTTAACTAAAGTGTTGGAATAAATTGTGTTTTGCTTAACGTCGAGTAGTTTGACCAATTGAATTGCATGTGGAACACAGCACCTCACTTTTACCTTTAAAATAAGAAACAATTATGGTCTACTACCTTCTTAATATATTTTGAGGGGTGTCTGGTCATAACAACAGACTCTACATATTCTCCTCACAGCTTAATTCCCCACCTAACTTTGTACAGTCAGCATACTTGGGTACATTATGCCAGTCCCTTAATCCAAGTCACTGATACATAATGCAAATAATGGAGACTCTCAACATCGATCCTTGCGACCCTATGAACTAACTCTTACCTTGTGCAATGACTTTTCATTTGGCATCTTATCAGATATCTTTCCCAAAATTCAAATATATAACTCACATTGGGTCCCTTTTTATCTACTCTGCTAGTTACATCACAAAAATGTATGGATCTATCAAACACAATCTCTCTTCAATAATATCAGATTAACTCAGAAAATCATAAGATTAAGCAAAATATCATGTCTGCTTCCATAGTAATGAGTTCCTTCATATTCCTGACAACCAATGTCATGCTAAATCACCTACTATTCCTCTTTCTCCTTCTCTTCTTTCTTGAATAGTGTTACATTTGCTACATTCTATTTCACTGGGACTATTCCAGAACCTCAATAATTTGGGAAAGTCACCATTAGCGTATATACTGTCCCTGCAGCTAACTCATTTAGAACCTTAGAATGTAGGTCAACTGGTCAAGATTTGCTGACTTTTAGCCTAATTCATTTTTGTTTGCTAGTGTAGTTACATTATGTTCTTTACTCTCATTGGACCTTTTGTACCCCACAATTTCAGGGGGTTTTTGTGTCTAAGAAGATGAACATAAAATTTGTTTTAGATCGCTACCATATCCTCCTTTCCCAGTGTAAATAATTTTGCCTTAACTTCTACGGAACCCAACTTCTACCCTTTTTTTAGATAACAAGGTGTAGAGCTGGATGAACACAGCAGGCCAAGCAGCATCAGAGGAGCAGGAAAGCTGCCCCATTTCTGAAGAAGGGTCTAGGCCCGAAACGTCAGCT